CAAGTTTGACTCAGCCATGCCTGTATTGCCAACATGCAGCTTTCCAGAAGGTTAGAAGGAAAGTTAAAAATATATTTAATACATAATTCTGCAGCAACAGCAGACAAATTTTATGATTTAGGCTGTTCCTTCTGTTGGAATCCTTGCAAAAGCTTAGGCTGGTTGCTAGGCAACTGACATAAAAAAAAGTACATTTCTCTTTGTATTGCAGACAGGAACCTTGGGAGCAGCAGAGGCCTCGGATGGCTCCTTAAATAGCATTGCTGGGGAATGAAAGTTAAAATATTGAACATTCATTGGCTAAAGATCCTGTTACAAAGGTCAGCTATCTTGGGGATATTCAATAGTTTGGTTTCCTTTGGTGCAAAGGAAAGATTAGAAGGGAGTTTGCCTGTGTGCTGTAGATAGTACAAAAAATGGAAATTTCCTAAGATGCCTGACTGTTGAGCAGAATACCTAGGTGGGCTATATAATTGCCTTCAGGCTTAACTCTCTTTTCTTGACAGAAAGTGTGAAGTGAGGTGTTTGTCATATTAGCAAGTACAAATGTGTGCTTATAGATCTTAGACTGTAAGAGGTGCTTTTAAGAGGGAGTATTTGAAGCTGCTTAACTCCAGTGCTCTAATTTGATAAACACAAGGTAAAAGGGAGGGAATCAGTGCCTGTGTTAAGAGAAGTAATGTCTTAGGGGAATAATGTTCATGCTGAGATTCACAGAAATCTCAAGATTCAGTGGAAAGCTAACAGCAAAACTACTGCTTCCGGAGTTCTCAATTGCTTGTTCATTCTGTCATCTTTCTGTGTCAGTTCAAGGTCATTTATATCTAAATGGCTGTGAATCCCAGGACACAGGGAATGAAAATTCTTGCATTGGGATGAAAGATTTCCTCCACTTCCCCACAATCCCTTTGAAATAGTGCAGTTTTTAGATAGGATGATGCAAGAAATACAGCAGCGCTAGTTGTGGAAATTCATTTGTGTACTAAAGTGCCAGGTAAATTGAGAATGAGGCTGTCTACCAACCCACCATCTTGAGGAACATTTTTCCTTCTGGCTGAAAAGTAGCAAAGAAGCAAAAAACTAGGGAGGTTTATGGAACCTGTGCAAGAGAAGAGCAACTGTTCGTGGCATGCCGAAAGTCTATCAGGCATTATTTACTGTCTGGAAATTATTCTTCCTTTTACTTATATCTGCATTTTCTTTATCTTCTAAGTATTAAATGGCTCTCTTACTTCCTTCCTTGGTTGCTTTGGTATGATGAGAGAGCAAAGGAGGGGAAAGAATGGAAATTGTGTTGGAGTAACCCAGAAAAACCATTTGGGCAGCATCTGTGGTTTACCATAACTGATGGCAAATTCTCTTGAGCCATTTGGAAAAGGAAGAAAGAAGATTAACTGTAGGATGTTCTTGGTTCACTTCTGCTCATGTGCAAGCATCTTTGAGCAGTGTATGCCTCCATGCTTGATTATTGAATTAGTAAATAGGGAGTGGGAGTTGTGTTCTGTGTTTGGATAGTTGTTTTTCTTTACATTTTACTCCCTTATAGGATTCAAAACCATGGCTGCCATAATTATGCAGGGGGAGGTGTCCTCTCTATTATTCTCCTTCCCCAATAGCTTCCTTGTGATTCCTTGCTCTAGATGAGAGGCCAAATGAGACCCAGCTTTCTGTAGTCCTATGGAACTGATTCTAGTGCAGTCATTATAAGCCAGCAATTAGCAAGTTAAATAGAAACACCATAAATCCTGGCTTGAATTATTATGTGAGCCCCTCTGAAGCTCAGAATCAGGAGTGGGAAGCATGTACTCACTTGAAATTCAATTTCTGCACTTCTCAAAATATGCCTCACCAATAAATCAAATTATTATTGCCTTGCAGTGAATCTCACAAACAATGCACTTGGCTGCCTGGTCCACCCACACTAAGTGAAAGAATATGTACATTTTAATTACCAGATTATTTCAGTGTTGCACAAACACTTTTTCATATTCAATATTTTTACAAATCAATGATATTCAGTAATGAGTGCTTGATATTTTTTCCCTGGCTATTAGTTTGTAATTAGTATCTTTAAGAAACCTTGATATGACATGTCATACCAGTCTCCTCTAAGTAAGGTCACTGTGGGAGTGGGATGTTATTTCTCCTGTCATTCCTTGACTAATGTTTTCATCATCTGTATAAAATATCTGCTGAGTAAATTTTTCAAGGTGCAATTATATAATATCTCTTGAATTTTTAAAATGCAGCTGGGGAGAAAGTCTTCATGTCACCCTGCTTCTAAAACAGCTTCTGCTCCATATGTTTAGTTGCAAATTTTATAAACTTCTTTAAAATGACATAACTTTGTAAATGTTTTAGGAGCAGTGCAGAAACTGTGCTTCTTGTTCTGTAAATCCATGTTCAGAAGCTCTCAAGTACACATGTAGTAGAGTGACTCAACACTTGAGGTGTTTGGGTGTGGGCACAAGGTGGGACGTTCTCCTGTGCAGCATTCAGGAGTCACTGCTTTGCAGTGGCCTCCTGATCAGGCTTGGGGCAGGACAGACATGGCAAGGGCTCTGTGGTTTGAGGGTTTTGGAGGCTGTGGCATTGGCTTGTCCTGCGGACAGGGAGGGAGCAGAGTTGAGGAACTGGCAAGGAATGGGTGGTGTCACTTCTCTTCTGCTGTAGGTCCTACAGCTGTGCCCCATATTAGGTCAGGCCTGTCACTGCTTTGGTTTGTGCTAATGCTGGTTGTGCTGATCCACAGGAGAGCTGCCACCAGCTCCCAGGTGCCTCCTGCTTTCCCTGCAATTGCAGTGCTGGTGGAGAGCTGAGAAATGACCACTGGGCTGAGCTTGTGTCTGTTTTTGCAAGTGTTGGCTCTGGACAGTGTATGGCCTTTTATATATCTGGCCCTTGCAGTTCACTTTTGCATGGTGAGAGGGCAAAGGTTGATGGGCTTCAGCTGCAGATATACTGGCTGTTATGGTGCATATTGTCCTGCTGTCACTTTTTTTTTTTCTGGAAGCACCTGTGGGGCTGGAATGCAGGTAGAAAGGCAAGAAGATGATATCCAGCCTAGGTCCCTTATGGTGTTACGCTTGGATTTCCAACACATCCATCATGCTACTGGGAATACCAGCTGCTTTCAGTGCATTTTGCAAAAGAGAGCAATAAGATGCCACTAAAACCTGAGACACCACTTGTTCTGAACAAATAGGTGTCAAGGAGGTTCATTGTGAGAGATGCTAGTTGCCTCGTGGCAAGAGAGCACAGCAGTGTGTTTGTTTGTTCCTGTACCTCAGGGGTGAATTACATGTCTTCATTTCTCAGAGGGATGAAGTAATGGTTCAAACTCTAGGACAAAGTTTATTGATCTCCATCCTTGGTCTGAGACAAGCTTCCTTCTGGCTTTAGGTAAATTGTGCATTTTGAATGTTAAATTAGCAAATGCTTCTTCACTCTTACTGATCATGCCTGATGCTCTACATAAGTAGGAGCAGCCTGAAGAATTGTAGAGTGTGCTGCTGCTCTTGTTCAGACCACAGGGTGGGTACCCAAGCTTCTCAAGCAGGAGGGTTTGCTCCTTGCTCCATTGGTTATGAAACCTCTCTTTGCCTTAAGGTGGGCATGGCTGATGGACATCCATTTTTCCAGGTTCCCTTCCAAGCAAATTTCTAATCAAGGTTTTGAATTCAGTAGCAAGAAGTGGACCTTCAATTATGTGGAGGAAGGAGGTGGCAGGTGCAGCCCACTTTGGTGTGGTTATTGGGGGGAAAGTGTTGATGGACAGTGGGAATGTGAAGCTGTGGTGTTGCTGCAGGGGATTGTAGCAGTCACCAGACACTGTGTGGGTCAGAGTTCTGGTAGGGAGAGCTCCTGGGGGTCTGGAGGAGACACCCGGGTCCTGATGGGAATAGCAGATTGTTTGACTTTGCAAGCTTCTGTTGCTGCTTTTCTGTTATATAGAAAGGGCATGACTATTTAACGTGCTTTGGAGCAGGAACATTGTGTCTTGGAACTGTGTGGGAGACTCTGGGAGGAAACAGGCACAAAAGGAGAAATTCCAAGATGTCCCTTGAACTTAAGCATGAGAAAATTTGAGTGGATTAGGGTCAGTAGTGAGGAAGGTTTAGATGTAACACAAACTGTGGTTGGGGTGGAATGGGCTGAGAGTCTCTGGCAGGGCAACTCCTGTCACCTTCTTGCTGTCTGAGGTGTGGCCTTCTCATCACTGCCTCAGATCAGAGCTTTGTTCATTCCCCTTTAAAGCATCTGAAATGTGGCAGACATGGATGTGTGCTGTAAAACACAATGTGCAATGTTTGCAGAGCACATGGGATGAAAAGGGCTATGCAAGTGCTAATCTTGAAAAACATCCTCATTAATGGTAACTTAACACCAGAAAGACAGCAAGAGTTTTGTGGGCTTTCTTTGTAACACGTACTTGGATCACCCACTAAACAGTGTATAGATCTGCATCCACCCTTTGTATGGTGGAGTCCCAGTTGCTTTCTTGTATGTTCTGGAACTGGAGAAGACACAAAACAACCTGCTGAGCAGATTACTTTAGCTGATCAAACCTCTCTGAGTGAAGTTGGCCTAAAATGTGAATGTACTGGAGGATAAACACTTGCTGATCTCTTCTGGCTTACTGGAAGATGATTATATGCAAGGAAAACTACAGCAGAATTCTTGTGTATTGGGAGAGCAGAGTTAAAATAACCAGTGCAGTGATAGCTAAGAAAACTGTTTCTTGTGAAGTGCACAGACAGGGCTAGGGCTGCCTCTTGGGCATGTTCCTCTGAGTATGGGAAGAGTGTGTTTGTGTGTGTGTGTGTGTACGCACGTCTGCACGTGGAGGTGGGAATGAAGTTGCTGACTTGTTGCTGATGTGGGATTCTTTTCTCCATAGCACTTCTTTGTACATGTCACTGCAATGTTCTGCATGGACTCTCAACAGCATTGTCTAATCAGCCTCTTTTATTTCCTCCTCCTCTCTCCCACTCCTCCAGTCAGCATATGCTGTGTCCGTGCTCAAAGAGTGCGCGAAACTGCGACCTACGGATCCCACCGTCCCTCTTCTGGCTGCCAAGGTCTGCATTGGGTCACTGCACTGGGTAAGCAAGCTGATGCAATTCTTATTATGTAACAGAGTAAGTGCTGCAGTGACAGTGCCACAGTGTACTTGCAGTGGGGAGAAAGGGAATCCCAGCTAAAATCACACACACACATGTGCCCTTTATAAAAAATGAAAATCCCCGCAAGAAATTTTGTAGTGAGTCATTAAAATGTATTTTGCTGGCACATTGAAGAAAGGAGGAGGGGGGAAAGCCATAACAGCCATTCTGTGGACTGTTGCTTCAACTGATGTCACATTGAATCAGCCACTCTTGTAGCCCCTGCAGGACACAAGTTAATAGTTATAAGTGGACTGTTAGATAGTTCAGGTCTACTGGACACCTCAATTCTTTGTTCTTGAAGTTGCTGTGTCAGTGTTTTGTGTTCTGGATGTGTTAATGTATGTCCCAGAAGCAGAGTGGGAGTGGAAGTTGGTGCTGATTATCCAAAGGAGCAGAAACATCTGTCACTCTTTCTCTACTTGGTTTAATTAACTGAATGGCAGCCTGCTGTTCTCACCTGTCCTCACCACGAGGTGTCCCTGCAGTCAGTGAAGGATTACAATTGCTGAACAGAAATAAAACAAGATGCAAGAAAACATGAAAGAAAATACCAGAATAATTTGCACAGATCTTGGAGAAAAGTTGTAGAAGCCTATTTGCTGTTGTTTTGTTCCCTTACCTTGCATCCCCACCTTCTTCTACATCCCTGTCTGATGGAAGCTGCTGTTCAGCTAAACTTAGGTGTATTAGTTTACAGCACTGTCAGGGAGGGTGTCTGGTTATGCATGTTTTTGAATGAACTATGCTGTTTGAACTATAATGGTTAAGCTTGTATGTGAGTCAGCAAAAACTGGACAGCATCTTTTTCTAGGAAAAATCTTCAAGTCTGAGGACCTTCAGGGAATCCTTGCTGAACTGCCCAGCCTACTTCTGCTCTACATTTGGAACAATTTAACCCTCTTGTACCCACAGCTCAGTCTCTAAATTTCGAAGTCTAAAAGGAATTCAGTGATATATAAAAAGATTCACAGTGAATGTTATTTTTTAAAATAAATAAGGTTTTTTTTGATTCTTAGAGATGTTAAAACAGTGTGACAGTGAGGCATTACAGCTGTGTTGAATGCTGTTCTTATTATGTTTGATTAAGTTTTCAGTGCACAGCTACCATATAAAAATACCTCATTATTTTGAAAAGACAGTGAGACTGTAATTCAATTCCAGCTTGGGAAATCCAGTATGTGCAGACTTCTCATACATGACAGAGCTGATAAAACAACTGGCTAACCCTAAAAAGTAGGAAGGGCAAGGGAAGAAGGGAAAAAGGAGCTGGTTTTGATTATTTCAAACCAAGAGGGTTTTTTCTTCCATGTACTGCTTTTTTATTGTTGAAATGCTTTTCAGTGTTATTCAGTCAGACCCTGGCTGAAAACTGGGGGTATTATGAAATAAAATCATGATTTCACAAGAGGGCAATTTTACTGCAGTTATCTAGAGCACAGCCTTATGAACTAAAACCAAATTAAAAATATTCCCTCTCAGATTCCTTTCAGTAAGTGGCCTATGCTTTACCCTCTTAGCAAACTTAATGATGGTATAGAAGAGTTTTAATTAAGGGGAGTCTGAGGGAAATCAGATCATCTTTTAAAAGAACTGAAATGATAGGTTCCTACATCTCTTAGTCAAAGGGGTGCTTCTGATATTACTGGCAGACTCCTGTGCCTAATAAAGACCTTCCTGCTTAGCAGAGCTGTTTTTCTAAATGTCATCCTTACTGTAATTATTTGCATTTAAATTACATGGCAATCAAATCAGAATTGAATAATTTAAACTGGAAGTGAACAGGCTGATCAATGCCAGTATAAATAGAAAGGAAGATAGACATGGGACAGGAACAGTCTAATGGACAAATATTAGCAGTAACAAATATTCAAATAGGTCTTCCTTTTCAGAACATATAAAATATGATTAATTTTTCAATTAGGAAAGATATCTGTGTACTTGGTTGCTGGCTGGGCAGGAAAAGGGTGAAATCAGATCACCATTTATCCAAATGAAACAGCTAATTTATATCCTGCATCTGTCTACTGTGTGGTGCAGTATTGTAGCCAGTTTGTTTATAGCCCATGGGCAAGCAGTACTTGATTCTTCTTTCAGCTACTAGCAATAAAAAAAAAAAAAAAACCAAAAAAATACAACATTTATGCAGATGGATAATTACAGAATGTCATGAGAAGCACAGAACAGTTTCTTTCATGATTAATCTAGTGTATAAGTCATTTTGCTGTCTTTGTACATGGTGTCTCAGCACACTTTAAGAGCAGGGAAAATAGAAAATTATTTGAAATGTACTATAGTGATTTACAACATTGAGGATGCCCTGATCATGTCTATGAAATAATCTCTCAGTGCAGAACAAATCAAAGTGAAAATGTGGATGCATTCATACAGTGCCCTGCAAATCAATATATAACAGAGCCTGATGCAGAAAAGAGCTGGGCCTCCCCCAGCTTCTGTTGTGGCAGTGTGACTAGGTCATTAACTGATGTGAGCTGGCAGTACTCTACTGGCATGTTAGGGGCACCATGCTGGCTTACATCAGGAGATGATCTGCCCCATCAACTGCTAGCTTTTAGGATTGGGCCTGCAGTAAACAACTGAGTGGTATAAGCAGTTTTTTGGCTAACTTTTTCAGAATTAGAGGTATTCAAAACCAAAAATCAAAAAAATATAGTGTAAATAATAATTTAATATGTCATTAATTATGATGTTTAAGCCAATAGACTTGGAGGACCAGAAAAGCTTCAAAACCAATGCACATATGTAAACCACATTTGTATGGTCAGGATGCAGTCAGACCTGTACAGCAAAGCTGGAACTTCTGTATTTCATCTAAACCATGCAGGTGTTTTAAATGTTTTTGTAGTAGGCTCAGAATTTTGAGGCAACCTGCTGCTAAGCCTTCCAGCTTGCTGGGGTTTCAGCACAGCAGCTTGCTGAACTTGCACGTGGATGATTCTATAAAGTGAACACAAAGCCCATTTGTGTTTAGCCAGCTGTCTTTTAGCTTTCCAGAATGCACTGTGAAGTCTTTGACTATTGTAGGTCAGAGTATTGTTTTAAATTTCCATAGAAGAGTTGAGGTAGCTTGCACTGGAATATGTCCATACTGAAGTTGCTTTGCCTTGCTACACTATAAATTCAGAGTTGTGCTCACTAAAAGGCTTGCTGCAATTTCCTCTTTCACTCAGCCTTCCCTGGCATGGTCTCAGCTGAATGCTCACTTGCCTATTTTGGCAATGACTTTGAGTTGCAGTATGAATTGTTGTTATTAATATTTTAATAGTATAGTTCTGTTAATTTCACCACTAATCTAGGTTCTCCAGCATGCTGTTTGGCAGGTGTTGTGAAAATACTAAAAATGGTACTTCTTCCTACAGAGAAGCATTAAATTCTGAATTTCTCCATTTTAGGAGTCTTGTTTGAGGTATTTAGGGTTACCCTGATGCTTTCTTTTGCCTTTTGCTCCATTGATTTCAGTGGAGGCATGTTGAAAATATTGTAAATACACATAGGGCAAAATGGACTGTAGTCCCAGGACAGGCTTGAATCTTCTAGAACTCTGCTCTGACAGAAAGCAGGAAGACATCAGGCATGTCTATGATTTTGACTGCTCCACAGTTGATATAATAGCAATAGTGGAGGTGTGCTAAACTTGCGTAGCATCAAATGATGCCAGTATTATCAGCTAATATGAGCTTTTCACAGGACTTTGTCCCATGGCAAAAGCTGCAGCACAGGATGATGCTGTACCTTTTGTTTTCCTCATTTCTTTGGAAGTATGTGCAGCAAAGGGCTCTACTGCAGCACTTTTCTGGGAAGACAGAGACCATGCCATCATTCAGGGGAAGGGAGAAGAGGTGGTGTTGGGCCAGAGCGAACTGTGCATGGAGTCATAAAAACTGAGTGGGACATGCCATGAGGTCAGGACATCAGGGGGTTTGGCAGGATGTAGATTTAGAGCTGCATACTTCTGAGGTAACAGCTTACCATTCATTACTTTCACAGAGCACTTAATCAGAGAGTGCTTCTCTCCCCTTCTGTCTGTTGTTGACCCTGCCACTATAGATAATAAATGCTGTGCATGTGCTGGTACTTAGTCACTTAGGAGCCCTGGAGTCACCTGGAAATGCTTAGGTCATAGTGCAGTATGAATAATATTAAAAGATGAAATCTAGTCCCATTACTGGAGTTACTCTGCCTGTTGATGGACATACAAAAGGATTGGCATCACCAGAATGAGAGGCTGCTGAGAAAGCAGGGAAGGGCAAGGAGCTACTAGATATTTCTTCTGTCTTCTAAAAGGCATTCTTGATTACATCACCACTGCTGTTGTGGGGCAGTCCCATGTGTTTTAGACATTAAAAATGACCAATAATTTTGTTTTCAATACATTGCCTTTGTGAACAAACCACTCTAGCTACAGTGGAGGAAAGGCCTGATTATTCCGAAGTGCTGGGGGCTGAGTTTACATACTAAATTGGTGGGCTCAACAATAGTGACATACATAACATAATTGTCTTTGTGTGCTGTAAACATCTGTGGGACAAAACCTTTTCATTAGATTATGCCTTATAGACCACTTTCTTCCTATGTATTTTTCCTCTTATCATTCTCATTTCACCATATTTTTATTCTTCTGTTTGAGTTAGTCTTTATAGCTACCACCCAGTGTGATGAAAATGCTAAGAAGAGTTGGACTCGACTAGTTAACATCCTGTGTAATTTTGTATACATACCCATTCTTTAGGATTTTGATCTCTTAAGTCCTTGGGTATTGTTCAATGTCACGGGTGTCCAGATTTACCTGCTTCATTAACCTTGTCTGCTGTCCTAAGTCCAGTGTCACTTGATGTATTTCCTGCCTCTTCCTTGGTGTGCTCCTCTTTTTTGGCACAATAAAATTCTGTTTTCATCCTGCTGTACATCATTGATTTGTTTATCCCCAGTTATTCTAAATGTGTGCTAGTGAGAAGTGCAGTTTCTACTCAGTCCTGCAAGCTGTTGATTCAGTGGGGTAGGGCTTGAGCTTTTCTAAAAACAATCTGGGTGGCAGTTGGACACCAGCTGGGTGGCATTAGGCCAGGGGACAGCACCTGCTGTTCCCCACTCCCTTTTCAGTGTGCCTCCGGGCTTGGCTTCAGCACACACCAAAACCTGTGGCCAAATAACAGTGGTAGCTGGAACAACCACTCTCTGTACCAGGGGAAACATCCCTCAGGATAGCACAGCTAGCAACTGTTCTTTTTCTATCAAATATGAAGGAGGAAATGAAAGGGGGAAAAAAGCCCAACCAACCCCAGAGCATTACCATGTCATTGGTGTCAGTTCACAGTTTGGCAGACTCTCTCCAGGTGCCAGGTGTTTGCTTTCTGGTGTGATAGAGAGGTTGCTTAGCTAGTGGTTCCAGGTGACTCCTGACACTTTAGATAGCTGGAGTTCAAAATGCAGGAAGTTTTTCTTAGGTTGTTTTCCCCCCATGCTTTCTTTCTTTCATGCAAGTCGAGGCAGGGAACTTCTCCTTGCAATCAGGAATGCTGCCTTTCTCTCCACCAGCTTTTCAGTGCAAAGTATGTAGAAAAAGGCTAGAACAGGAAGGGCCAGATTGGAGGGAGGGCTTTGAGACTTCATTTTTTGTTGTTTCTAAGAGAGTAACATGGTAAGCCTTCCCTCCTTGCTTTCTCATCTCCACAATACAGCCTGAAGATACCCCGTATCTTCAAGGACCCCCACAGACACAGCTTTACTGGCAGATCACAGCTCAGGCTCACTTCTGGTCCCTCACTCAGCTTTTATCCAGACTACAGTCTGGTAGTCCTTGCAGTTTAGTTGGTTGCCCAAGTGTGTTCCCAGGGGGTTACTCCTGTTTCAGGTAGTACTTTCTAGAGTCACAGTTGACTAGGCCATCTGCAAGATTGATGCACTGGAGAGTTGAAACCTCACAGTGGGTGATGGGGAGTGAAAGGTTTGGCTTTTCACACTTGCCCAGGATGACTGAAGAGTAGGAGAATGGGAGAAGAGGGGGCAGATGGCTGCCACAGCAGGGTTGGCAGGAGAAGTGTCTGAGTGCTGTAAGAAAGAAAAGTAAATGTTCTCGTAAACAGAACCAGCTGTGCTGGAATCTGTGAGGCCACTGATTTTTGAAGCAGACTTCAAACCCAGGTTTACATTCATAAGAATCTTTGTGGCTGGTCAAAGTGCCATTAGTGTTTAGTATGAATAAATGTTCACAAGAATGTGCTAGAAGTGCTGTTTCAGCCACTCTAAAACGTTACGGTTTTAATTATTCATTCATTAGATTAATTTGATACTGACAGATGGCCCTGGGTAACTGGCAGGCAGAAAGGCTAAATGGTGCACTACTGATTTATGTGCAGTATAGGTAGTTCCAGTCAGAGACTCGAATTACCATCAGGTGACCATTCAAAGAAACAATGGAGCAAAATCGCTCCAATTTTACATGTCTTCATTTCAGCTTCAAACTTTTCATTCAGTCTTTTTTTCCATACACTCTACCCACCCCTACTCTTGTTCACTAGTCATTAGAATACCTTGTATAGCTCCTTTCTTCATCTAATGGAGACTTCTTGGATGAAAGTGTGTGTGGGGAGAAGAGGAGAAACAATGAAGAAAGAGAGTGGGAATATAGCTGTTCATGATGGCAGAGAGGTGCATAATGAATTTTCAGGCTGCAGAGATTTCATGTCTTACATAAAAGTTTCTGAGAGATGAATAATTCAGTTATAGTTGTATAGGAGGGTTTTTTTGTTGTTCATTTGTGGTTTTTGTTTTTTGGCTTTTTTCTATGTGGCAAGTCATGGGCTACTTCTTCCATTGTCCTAGGCTCTGGCCCAGAACACATTTCAGTATGTGGCTGGGAAGCTGGTAGGGCTACTGACCACTTAAGAAATCTCCTGAAACAAATCTCAATCTTCCTGATGTGATCAGAGTTTAAGGGTGTTATCTCAACATTACTGAAGTGGGTGGGACTATTTCCAGTGGTTTTGGTAGGCTTTGGATTGTACCCTCAAAGACAGGCCTTGCAGTTTAGTTGGCAAGTCTCAGTATTCTGCAAGAGGTGTTCCTTTGTCAGTTTGTGGCTTCCACAGTCACAGCTGATGGGGCAATGAGCAGCACTAATGCTTTCAGGAAAGGGTTTGGTGATAACATATGTGTTGGTCATTGGACTGGCTGATCTGAGGTTTCAGAAACTGGGAAATAATTGTTCTACATCTAGTTTGAATTCTGTGGCCTCAGGGAGTTGTACTAGTGGGAAGAAATCCCAGCTGTGGAGATTTGCTTCTTCACTTGCACTTTTCAGTCTTCTTCAGGTTTATGTAAAAAGTAATTTTCCTCTTATGTTTGGTATCATCTAATAAATCCCGGGTTGCTTGTTTATGAAGCCATTAATTAATGTTGTCACCTGAATGTTTTCAAGTGATGGGACTAGGAGGCCCATTGACAGGATGCTACATCAAGTCAAGTAGATTCTGCTCATGGGTAGCATATTAGCAGATCACTGTAAAAGGCAAATTTCTTGTCTGATGGTGCATTTTAATTCCAGATTGTTATGGGTGAGTCATTTTATATGTTAAGGAGCCATGAGGTGCTGCAGTCTGACAATGCTGAGTATAAAGAGGCCACACATCCACAGTACCTGTGTCTGAACTAGCTGGATTTTAAACAAAAAAAGTAGTTTCTCAAAATTGAACAACCTCATGCCATGAAATTAGTTGTGATGCATTTAAAGTTTCCAAAGGGAAGATTTGTCAGATAGTGTAATGGTGTCTGCTTCTTGATTGTGGATAACTGATTATGGGTGACAGGATCAGCATACTGTCTTGTACAGCAATGAGAACTTCCTGTGGGCTCTATCTTTCAGGCATTACTTACAAGTTTTGCCAGTGTCTCTCCAACCTACACCTTTCAAGGTTTATACAGGTGATGGTTTAAAGGTATATACAGTGTACAGGTCTTGGTCTTCTCTACTTAATATGGTTGAGTGATGTTAATGAGAGTTTAAAGTTAGAAATGAGACACACTCCATTCTGTAATAAAATATTTTAACTTACTCTTTTTGTTTAAAATTACCAGTAACTCAGATTTTACAGATGCTGGCAGATATGTGTCAAAAGGAAAGCTGTGGGGAGCAGTCTGTGATGTAGCAGAAGAGACCAGTTTACATATTTCATCATTTTGGAGGCTGATCCTGAGAGGTGGAGACTGCTCTCTCCTCCAATTTCTATCTGTAATATAAAAGGCATTTTCAAAGAAATTGTATCTTCGCGAAAGATGCTGAAAGTGGTTAGTGCAGCAAGAGCTGTCAAGGAAGGGTGTTAGTTCAGATCAAAATTTGTGTCCTGAAATTTGTGTGTCCTTGTGGCAGCAGAACTTGAAGCAGCAGCTGAGAGCTTTCACTGATGTTAGTGGTTTCTTGTTTCACTCTTGTAATGTTTTAAAAGAAAGTAAGATTTGCTAAGGTTTAAAAAAATTAGACAGCTAAACTGCATGGTCTTCCTTTGAAGGAAGAAACCTGTTAGACCTTTCAATGCCCTGTTAATGTGCTACCCCTGGGATAGCACATAAGTAGTCCAGTTGGTCCAGCATTTGTATTTAAGGCTGCATGATTGAAGTACCGAAAGGAAATTATAAAATAAGGTAGTGTCTTTGATTAATCTTAAACATCTGGAAAGAGTTTGGGGTGCAAAACCCAAACTTTTCTCAAAACTGTGCAGCATGTGCACCAAGGTCTGGTAATCTGAACTTCTACATTCTCCTTCTTATGAGTGTTCACTGCGATCACTGAAAGCCTTTGTGTCAATGGCTCTCAGATCACTTACTGGTAAGCCTAATGGTAAATTTTATTGGAGCAAATATAGAGGAAATGCCTGTAAGTCTCAACCTACCTCTTTTGCAGCTGGAAGAAGGAGAACACTTTGCTAAAATGGTGATAGACCTGGGTGAGGATGCTGGAGAGTCCTTAGCAAAGGGTTACCTGGCACTGGGCCTGACATACAGCCTTCAAGCTACTGATGGTGAGTTACTTGTTTGTCAGGTATGTTATATGGAGAGCATTTGTTCAAAGGCTTCTGGGAATTTATTAGAAATCTGCCTTCACTGCTGACTAGACATCAAAAGCAATCAGATCACAAGATAAATGGAAATTTTTCACATGCTCAGAGAACTGTCTTCTGTGGTAATAAAGGTGAAGTTATTAGGTAAAGGAAGAAATGCAGGTCATTACTTAGGGGGTGATAATCTGAGGAGAGTTGACAATGCTTTACTTGAATATTTGTAATGCATTTTTTTCACTTAATTTACACAACAAAAAGTTAAACTTTCCATCTACTTTCATATTTTTGTCACCCACTCATAAATCATAAAGAAATAAAATCCAAGAACTGGAGTCAGAAATGCCTCACTTCAGTTCCTGGCATGATACTGATTCCCCACAGAGATTCAACCTCTCTGTGATATCGTTTCTTTTACTTAGAAGTAAACAAGATAAAAATATCTACCTCCCTGGTACATGTGGATGTTGACTAGAAACAGACCACTGAATGTAAGAAGTATTTTATTTTCACGCTGCTTACTTGGATCTTCAATGAGTGGACAAGGGGCTCCTGCAGATATGGTGCTTTGTAGTTAGAAGGGCTTGGAAGTGTTTGGGAGAGTACTAGCTCTGACTTTCATCAAGCTCACAGGTGGGAACAGTCTTTGTTTATTCTGTGACTTCTAACATACAGAACATATATTCTAACATATTTTCGTTGAATAATGGCTGAGCAGTGTGTTTCCTAAACATTTTGGCAGTCCTGCCCTCATGCAAGCAATGGCTTTTCTGTCATAGAGGTTCCATAAGAAACAAACCCTCATCTTCAAAGTTGATTCAGCAAAGAAGCCTGAATCAAAGCTAAAAATTACTCTATCATGTTATCATGGAATATGCAGGCCTTGCAACTTACACCAGAATTCTGCAAGATGTGTGCAAGAAAGTGTTCTTGTGCTCTTCAGTAGCACAAGTTGGTGTAGTTTTTCAGGCAGCTATATCTAATCAGGTATTCTGAGAGCTACTTTTCATCATGGGGGCTAACAGGCACTGCAGCTCTCTCCAGTTCCCCATTTCTCTGCCTTAGAGTAGTTCTCCCTAGAAAGTTCATGTCAAAAAGTATGTCCTTCCTAACCTGAACTTTGTCTTACATATATATTTTAAGTTCACTAGGAATAGAGTTCTGCTTAACAGCTTAGTTTTTAAGTCATTTTGCCTAGACACTGTTTAAACTGTTATAAAGCTATACAAGATCTCATAGACTATTTTCAGGGATAGAAGGTTTTCTATGTTAGCCCCTTAAGATCTCTTTGTAAACTTCAGTATGAAAAGAAGGTGGTTGCTAAAGAATAGAGAGGCATGTACTGTACTCTAGCTCTAAAAATATTTTGGCGCAACAAAATATGAGTTGGAAACTTTTTTTCTGGAAATTTCTTGAGTTTTCAAGAGACTAGTTCAATATTGTGTCATTTTTTATGTAAAACAAACAGTCTTTCCAACAACTGCCTTGAATTATTTTCAGATTAGCCTCTGATTTATGTTTTGAAAGAGCAGAATATATCTGCCTTCTTATCATATCTCTAGCCTTAAAGGCAGCAGGACAAGTCACTCAGTTATTGGAGGGAAGTAGGAAGAATGTATTTCCATTTTGCAGATTATATTTTAATAAAATGGATTAAGTCCTTCAAAAGTATACATATGATGGTAATGAATATGGAACTGTGTTTCACTGGAAAATGTCAAATTTGCACTAGCAAGACATTTTTCATTAGCATTGTTAAAAAATAGCATATGACAGTGAGGAAACAAAGCTAGATCATGCTGAAAGACAGCAGTTCTGTAATGTAATCCTGCCTCATATTGTCAGTCTTGTTTATCATTGTATTTATACCAGTTCTTACTGACACATGCAGACAAGTCAAACATCTATGTATATATATATATATGAGATTACTGTAACTTTCTAGTTGAGATGACTTTCAGTCAATTAGTATTTTCAATGGTAGCTAAGTCTTTCAGAGACATTTGACCAATTGCCTTCTAAGGCTTTCAGCCTTCCATCCAAGTTATACTTTCTTATTTAATACAACATTTTAGTAATTATTTCTCCTCCTGTATGACAAAGGCACTGAGGAGTTGTATTAAAGCCTTTTCTTTGTGATTTGCAAAAAGCTCCTGTAGCAAGTAAGATTTCCTGAAACTTATGCTGGAAAGCTTCCTTATTCTTAATGTTTAATTACATATTTCTTGAAATAAGTTTCATTGAAGTAATTGAAAGATGTGTCCTCAGAGGAAGTCATTGACACTTTTACACTTTTGCCTCAGTCTTAGAAGCCCAAGTCTCCTGTGCATAGTTAATGTCCATTTTCTGCAGATCAGTTTCCAATGGGTCAATGCCAAGAGCAAACCATTCCTCTTCTTCCCACACTTTCAGTTTTGACATAAGCTGTATTGTCAACGTTTCTTCCCTTAGGTCTGGTGAAGAATTCACTGATGTCAGGGAAAGGTGAGATGAATTTACCAAAGGCTGAAGAGGAAAGACTAGGTTGAGAATGTATTGTGAAATACAAGTGCTGCTCTAACCTCACATGACCACCTCACAAATTGTGAAATATTTGCAGCCTTTTTTTTTTTTTTTTTTCTCTTTTTTTTTTTTTTTTTTTTTTTTTTTTTTTTTTTTTTTTTTTTTTTTTTTTTTTTTTTTTAAGTGATGTCCAGAGACCTACATTTCATGGTTGTTTGAAAGTTTATATAACAGTGGGAAGCTGTTTTTTTTTTTTTTTTTTTTTTTTTTTTCTCTTTTTTTCATCCAGAGAGGGGTGTGCTGTATCTCTGTTTTCACTTAGGATTTTGGTAGAAGGTCATGGATCAGGGACTAAATTAGAAACTCATTCTATCAGTGTTTGTGGATTTTACAAGCAGTCAGTGTATTGACAGCACTGGTTCATGTTAAGCCCCCCACACATTTGTTCACTAAGAAGTGAATAAATTATTACTGAACAAATTTACAATCTTTGCTTTTGGAAATAGCAGTGCATGCAATCTTTAATTACAATTCTGGGTGCTAAAACTCTATGTTGTGCCATATTAAATGTCTTAACACAAGGGAATAGTTTCTGAAACTCAAGTCATATTTGCAAAAGGGTGCATGCATGTCAATGTTTTAGTTTGGATGAGAAATTTATTTAGAAAGTCCATTTATCTGTCATCCCCACTTTTTACATTGTGATTCACATAATGGAACAGTTTGGCACATTACAAACGGAATTCTTTCCCACAAAACAAATGTTTTACATAAATAGACCTGACTGTGCTTCAGCTGCTAATGGGTGCTCAATCCATTGGACAAGATTAGAACTAGATTCCTGTCCCCATGTTTGTAGAGTTGATTCTGATCCTCAGCACTGTGTTTCATTCCATGCATTCGCTACTCCTACTGTGCTCTAACTTCTGAGACAGAACTTGTCCTCCTTTGTTTTCAAATATATTTCCAGAGCTTTGTGTTTAGGTACCAAAATATTGCTGAAGGACCTGTTGAATTTTAGTAAGGCTGAGGGTCCTTTGAAAACCCAGAGTGCTTCAGAAAATAAATTTTGGGCTGCTCAAGTGGCATTTGCAAAAGTACTGTCTTATGGATTTCAGAAACCCCCTGTGCCACTCCCTCATCGGTCAGACTGCTTTTGCAGCTTATTTTTATCTAAGTAATAAGTCATATTTTGTTTTAGTTGATGGAACTGCAGCAGCTATGCTTACAGGAAGTAAGGTTGGGTAGGGAGTGAAAAATTCTTTGGTGCCATTGAGCTGGGAGAATGGAGCATAATTTTTAAAGATTTAATCAGACCCACCAGGTTCTGTTTCCTTAGTGGCAGCTTTTGTTTGTCTGAAGTGAGAGCTTCTCAGTGATACAAGTGGGTTGCAGATTTCTTTGAATAATTCAGGATAGGGCATGTCCAACATCTTTGGGCAGTCTGTTTCAGAGACTTACCACCCTCCTAGTAAAGGATTTCTTCCTGTATATAATCTAAATTTTCTCTCTTCTAGTTTAAAACCATTACCCCTTGTCCTATAATTTTTCTCCAGGTTGAAAAACCCCAATTGTCTCAGCTTTTCTATGTAGGAGACGTCTTCCAGCCCTCCAGCCATTTTCATGGCCCTTTTTTGGGTTTGTTCCAATAAAACCATGTCTTATGTTGTGGATGCCAGAGCTGCACACAGCATTCCAACTTTGTGATAGCTGAAGATGTAGTCCATATTGTGGGAGGTGGGAGTCACATGCTGTTTCCCAGTAATGCAGTCAAAGCTGACTAGTTGTACAGTAGTCACATCATTTCCACAACATATTTTGTGTTCTTTCTGACTACAAGTTGAACATTATTCAAATATATTAACAGTTGGAAGCTCAAAGTTCTAGCTTTTCCATTTGGTGTTTAATTTGAGGGACAAATGGTAGCATTTCTTTCAGTCTTTCTTATTGTGTGACATCTTCAGAATTGCTCTGTAACTTAAAGAATGGTAGTTTCCATGAGAAACAGAATGTCAGCTTTTTTTCTGTAGGGATGCTTATAAGTATGATCAAATATTTTCCAGTGTCTCTTCAAGCATTTTTGTTTATATCAATCTTGATTCTTTAATTTTTTTCCAAAATTTCTTCTTTTGTTACTTTATCCAGTATTTTGCAGCCTGATTTAAGGCTACTGAGAGTGATGTATTTTTAATAGATGCTGCATTTTACATGAAAGTCCATGTCTTTAAATTTATTATTTAAAATACAAGGTTTTGGATCAGTTTTTAATACTTAGAGTAGGTTTTGTGGGTTAAACAAGTTCTGATCTTTATGATTAGGAAATCCTGAAGATTGCTGTTTCTCCCAGATGAACCTGGTGTTCTGAAGAGCTGTTGGAAGATGTAGAAATAAAAAAAGTCTGATCACTATAGCTGCTGCAGCAAGTAATATACTTACAAAATTTCACTCACTGGCATATTGCAGAATGCAAAGAAACTAGGTACCTTTGCAAGTCTTGCAGAAGAACACATCTCCATTTTGTTAATAACTTCTAAGAATACTTGAATTTCACTGGGTTTGTTATGTTATAATATACTACTTAGTAGCTTTCTATTTTAGAGCATACACTGACTTGATGTATCAAATCTGATACATTCATGGGTGATGCTTGCTGATGGATTAACTACTCATGACTTCCTTATGCTGTTGATCAGTAGCTCTCAATTTCAGGATAGGCAGAACAAGAAACAACTGCTATGCAAAATCTGAAAACATAAGAACCAGAGCAAGACAGCCAATTCATTTCTAAAAACCATCACTAGGTTTCCAGATGTTTTGGATCTGAGAAAGCCATGTTCTTTTAAGCTCTTCCTCTGTTCCTGTTGATCTTGATGATGATATCTTATGATACCCAGGTATAACAAGAGCTTGATTCTTCTCTTCCTTTTCTGGTTTTAGGTAGGAATTAATTTATACATTGATACGTGTTAGTCAAGCAATTAGAGGCATGGAAGAAGGGCATTAGTGGCTAATGCCACATCTGAAGTAATCTAAAAGTCTGTTGTGGTCTCAAAGATGGTGGTGTTTTGTTAAGAGCTGTAAGTTTGGCTGCTGGTGTTCCCTGTTCAACCTGCAGCACCCTCCTACATGAAGGTGGTGGTGGGGGCAGTCTGAACCTGGGTCAGAATGTGATGCAGGTTTCTGCTTGTAGCATTTGCAGCAGTCTGGCTGAGGATGTGTTACCTTCTTGGTATCTAGTTAGTGTCTGACCCCTTCTCCAAGCCCCCTTCAGTGGCATATGTGAGTAAAAAATGCTTCAGTGATTCAAACAAAGGACTTGAAGTAATCTTTAATAAAAATGAATTTGAGAATTCATGTCAAAATGAGCACATGCACAAACACACAGATTTCCGTAGTGTTTATGCTCCCAATTTGAAATACTCTATACATTTATTTATTTATCTGAAATGTTGAATTAATGCTTAAATGGCATTGTATCTTGTCCTACAGCTACTCTAAAGAGCACTCAGGATGAATTAAACAAGAAAGCACTTCAGACTTTGGAGAGGTGAGTAGGAATTTTGCAGATACTTGATTTGTGCATTTTTTTCATTAATTCAGAAAAATTTTTGTTTCTTTTTCCTCTGTGTAAGGCTTCTGTGCCAGAAAGTTTGAAAACAGTTCATTAGATTTCAGCAGTAGACTGTCAAAACCATTTTTGTGATGGCTAAATGCAGTGATTATTTGATTGAATATCCAGGGTAAGAGTACTGTTCTGCCACCTTACAGAAAAAAATCTTAGCTCCAAATTAGCTGCAGTGAGATCTACAGTGCTGGGATATGCAGCTTCCTCACATGATGCCAGCTGGCAAACGTGGAAAGCTAATTTTGTCTTGATTTCTGTGTGAAGCAGGCTTAAAATCCTATTTCTGTCATGGTGGGAAAGTACCTCCGGCATCAGGGTGCAGGCAGCTATGGGGTGGCCTGGCTCCTGTGCACCGAGGGGAGAGTATAATTGCTGTCCTAATGAATATTTGCATGAGCTGTTGTTGGAAGAGGAGGTTCCAGAGCTAGCAGTACAAAGCAGACACCACTCACCTCTCCTTCATCCCTATATTTTTGGGGAAAACTGATACAATGGCTCCACCCTGGAAGCAACTGCGAATTACACTCTTGAGCAGCTACACTTGAGACCTCAAGGACAACTGCTTGATTTAAAACACTTTTTTGTCCATTCTATGGGGTAGAGAGGTAAGGTGTGAGTTTCCGGATCCTGTTATGATTAAATTACACCACCCAAAATAACTGGGTGGTGTTCAGGCTGTTATTTACATTTGTACAATTGCATTCACAATTTACAGCCTGCTGTAAATGTAGATGCCTACAGACTATATAGATAGCAATTAAATGGAAGCTTATGTGGTCCAAGTCTTGGGATGAAGTATCTCATTCTGAGTTTATTGTGGTCATAATTACATAAGTGAAGAATACTTGAGATCTCTGGTATCTCAACGTACAGGTTTAACAATTTGAACAGTGTTAAAGGATCTTGCCCATTTTGCCGATGCTGACCAAGAAGGAGCCCAACATGTTTGTCCTACACTGGTTTTGTAGTGAGTGCAAGATCTGAAGCCACAAATAAAATTCTGGGTATTTATTTTATGGAGGTCTGAGAAAACTTTTAAAAGTCATTTATTCATTCACTGTGTGTATGAGGAGTGTACTTTTACTTTTTAGGTCACACTGGATTGTGGACTCCAGTGTCAAATATTAACTGCTGACCAATTTTATGGAATTGTGGTGCTGCACTGCTTTTAAACTTCTTTTCTTTTTAATCCTTTGACCTTTCCCATTGGCTGTGATTTGTTTTCATGGTATCTCTACCTAGGAGGCAGACAAGCTTCTAGCCAAATATTAGTTACTCAAACGTCAGCCAACAGGAATGTGGCAGTGAGCTGATTACTAGTGTTTTCCTAAATGCCCAAGTTTGGTTTCCTTCCTTTTTGTACCTTTCTTGTTTTTTGCCTCTTTTTTTTTGAAGAATGTGTATGATCTCTGAGGCCATGGTTTGGCCTGTAGTCATCTTTGCAAGGGGCTTTTTCAGCTGGAAGATTGCACCACATGTTTTCCCAATTCCTTCTGAGGAAAAGGAGCAGTAAAGTAACAATCCTTTGTTTCTTTCCAAAAGCACCATTAATCTCATCTGCTATACTCCTGTGAACTTTCCCCTTCTATTTACTACTGGAGAGGCTGCTGAAAGTTTCACAAGAGGCACTTTGTAAAGAGGTGGCTCACCCTGTCTAACACCTTAGGGCAAAGCTGGGTTCTGTCTTGTGCAGTTTTGTTGTTTGTTGCAATTTTTTGGGTTGGGGATTTTTTTGGTGGGGGAGTTGTGGGGGAGTTGTAGCTATTTGGGTTTGGGGATTTTTTTGTGTTTTTTGAAGTGGAAGGAGAAATTAATGACTCACCTGTACGAACTGCGCATTGATGTCTTTGGCATTGCTTCAGAACACTTGAGTGCCACCTTGACTTACAGAGTTGCAGGACATATTTAGTCCATACTAAATTAATTTGTTCTAGAACCATTAGTTACAAAAATCAGCTTCAAAATCTTCTTGCTCACAGGCCAGGATGGTATTTGAAACTTGCAATTAAAATGGCGTGTGGTTTGTTTCCTGAAGGAGTTCTTTTATTGTTACTTGTTTATTATTAGCAAATCAATAGTTTTGGCCTGGGTTTTAACCACCAGTGTTGTCAGCCTGTCGTTTCTCCCTCATAAGGACATTAATTGTGCTCACTTTGGGCCTGGCAATGCAGGTGCAGGTTTCCCTGGTGTTCTGGAATGCAGCCCAGAAAGAGGTCAGGAATGTTAATTGGCTATGAGGGACTTTCCTCTTCCCCATTTCTCCCATGTGAAATGACTTCCCTGTGCTGCAGAGCTGTGAGTGAGCTTTGAGTCACAAGGGGAAAATCCACTGGTTCCTGGAGTGGGCTGCCAGGTGGCATGAGCTGCTGCCCCACCTTTCCTCCTAGGCTGGGTTCCCCAAGACACTATCCCACCATTGCCTTGGTTAATGGCTTCTCCACAGGCTAGCAAACTCGGGCTGCAATTTCGTGCCTAGCATAGTCTGAGAGGGGACAGTTCTGCCCAGGTTGTCCATCCCTGTTCCCTGCCTTGTACAAGAGTTTATTAAGGGCCTGCACAACTGGTTCTGGAGACACTGCAACCTTCTCTAGCCAAGGCTTCGCTTCAGTGTGGTGCCTGCTGTGGGCTGGAAGGTTGTATCTCAGAGTCCAAGCTTGGCAAGTAAGGGCCTTGGTGTTGGTCCAGGCACAGCTCCTGTCATCAAATCATTCCTCCCTCAGTGTCTTCCTTTTCCAAATTAGGAGTCTACTGTCAAAAATTAAACTAGATGCTGCAGGGTGGAGAATGTTTTGTATGTTTGAGCAGCAGCTTGTGTCAGAGGCTCCTGATCTTTAGTCCTCTACATGCTCATAGTGACTAGTTTTTCAGTGCTAATCTAATCCTCTCTTAATGTTTGAAAAGTGGCAGTATAGGAACAAGTTAGACAACTATGTCTATCACCTGAATTACTTAAAATAATGCTTTGATAGGTTTGTTATGCGCTACTTTTTCCATATTAGTTATCCAAGTTCCAAAATACTAAGTGGCATTTGATAAAGGATTGTATAACTTGTATAACATCCCGGCAGCTGTGTTTCTCATACTTTTTCCTGGGATTCTGGCTTAGCCAGGCCAGAATCTGCTTTTTGTCTAGTTTCAGTGTGCTCTCCCATTACTAGACTAGTTTTCTGTGGGGGAATACTGGGTTTTGTTCAGTGCTTGTGTGACTCATGGTGAAGGAGTTCTGCACAGTGCAATCTAACAGTCACTCTTCTTTTTGTCTTATGTGGTCGTCCTTAAAGAGCACATGACCTGGCCCCTGAAGATCACCAGATCATCCTCTACCTGTCACTGCAGCTGGCTCTTGTCAGACAGGTATGTGAAATATTTGGAAATCACCGAGTCATGGGAGGGTGGAAGGCCAGTCCAGTTGAACAAGACCCAGCCTTGCTAAACAGGGTTCATTCCTTCCTACACTGTAACCTGTAACAAGCAGTCAGAATACGTTTATGTAAAATATTTTTTAATTCTTATCCTAAAAATAATAATTCTGTAGCACGTGGAATGGCCTTCCCTAGGGAATGTGTTGAGCTCTAACTCCCGAGCAGGCTTGGAGCAGCTCTGAGTGTGTGGGATGAGCGAGGTGTGTTTATTGCTGTTCCTGGTGTCCCGCTGTGGCCGCTCCGGAGGCTCTCCGGTCCTGCCCGTTCCGTGCCGTGCCAGCTCGCGTGCTGGGATTGCTTTATTCCAAACTTGGGCACGTTTGACGCCAGGCTTGGACGCGTGCTGGAGCTCTGCAGCGAGTGGGATTAGTTGGCATTTGAATGCTGCTGCAGGTGTTAACTCATAAAAGTGAAGCTGATCAGAAAATGCTCTGCCTCTCAGGAAAAAAATCCCCAACCGCTTGGGCTGTGCTTTATTTTTCTGCCCCTTTTTCTGTAAACTGGGGTGTTGTATTTCTCTGTCCTTTCTGTTTAAAAGCTTAAGTCTTTATTGGAGCAGCTTCTTTTTTTTAAATACCTCTCTAGCTAGATTTGAAATTTCATCATTGTAGTTTCTTTCTTTGGCAGGCCTTCTGCTTCCTGCAGTTTTCTCTCCTTAGTCTACACTACGGAGTTGAACAGTTGGGTATTTCTTAGTTTCCTGAGCTAATTAGGGGAGCTGTGTGTTCATTAGGTTAAACTAATTGTTCCAAGAGAGCACCCTCTTGATAATGTCACTTTTGTAACCCTTTCATAATGTGAGCAGTGTGCTGTGAGCCTGCAATAAGAAAGGATAATTAAAATGGCTTATTTAACTTTCTCATCTGCCTACTGGCTGCTTTATGATGCAGTTTGCTCAGGGTCTTTCATTAAAAAACACCCAGCTACCCTTTTTTCTCTCACAGCTTTTCCTCATAGGGAGATGGTCTGATTTGCTGCCTCTTCTGCTTGCCACGAGTAAAGCATTACAGCTTTTCAGCTGCTATCCTGAAAAATAAAGTGAAGATTTTTGTGGCCATTGTTTTTTTATTGTTTTCACTGTTACTCATTTTAACTCATTACCCTTTCTTTTTTTCGGGTTGTAGCCTGTCTTTGCAGTGTTGTTTCATCTCTCTTTGTTGCTTCATTTCCCTTCCTTCCTGTTCTTTCCATTCAGTCTTTTGTCCCTGTGTTCACTTTCCTCTTTTGTCTAGTTCACCTGTGTGTTTTCATCCTTGATGTTGTGCCAGTTGCCTCTGCTCCTGCAGCTGTGTGATCTCAGTGTACTATGTAGTGTCAGCCTGACCCCTGCGATGGTGCTTCTGCTCTTCTCCATCAAGTGAGATATAAATCTTTAATGCATGCTTGGACAGAGGGGAGATACCTGAGACATCTTTATTTTTAGACTGCTGTAAAATATCCTACTCTTCTTTTGCCAGTTTACTTAATGATAAACATTTGGTAATGCATTTTTAATATCCTTAATTATTTAAAGTATCTAATATATTCTCTTTTCTGATTAACTGAAAGATAAATTATACCTTTTTTGATAGATTGCATTAACTATTAAACATCACAGTTGGGGCTTTCATCAGGCAATGCTATAATACCAATAAATTAGGCCTTTTCTGCATAGTAGGTTATAATAAACCTGAATGTTTTTCTCAACAAATAGGCCTTTTTATTTCCATAGTCAGAGTCAATAAATGAGGTAACTGTACCCAGCATTGAAAAATACAGGTATCAGCTTGCATAGATAAGAGAGTGTTTTCATGGAACCAAGCAAGAGAGGCAGCTGACAGTAGGGTGCCAAGAAAAGCTGGAGCAATTCATCTTCCTTGGAAGGCTGTAAAATATTTCCAATAGCACTTGTCTCTGTCACCACTGGGCAAGGCAAAGGGGAAATGGAAAAACATAAGCATCCCTCTGACATGAAATAAGGATGTGACTGAGGAGGAATGGTTATAAAAGGTTCATGCAGAGTTGGCACTGGAAACCAGCAGCAACCAAGATAAAAAATTATGATAATGAGCTTTGTGTGTGTGTGTCTTAAAGACCACTGGAGTCGCTGGGAAGACTTGGAGGGTCTGCATCGACCCCAGAGTGTTTTAGTGGATTTTCCAGCCAAACGCAGTGTAGAATAACCTGTGTAAGGAGGGTCTCTCAGTCTGGTTTTCCCCCTGAGCTGAAGTGCTAGGAGGCCAAGGTCTGTACCTGCTGCAGGGGATATCTCCAGCTGCAGTTCCTGGCTGGCAGCTGGCCGAGCCCAGTGACAAATGAGACTTGTAGCTCCCAACTCGGCAGTGGCTGCTTCAGCTGCTTCTCCTGTTTCTGTGGTAACAGCACTTGGATCAGCAAAACCAAGGTAGAAGGAGCATTTTAAAGCTCACTGATTTTAATGCATTGCCTTGTTTTTTAAAAAGCAGACCAGTTTCTATGGAAATGACTCTCTAGAGTCAGCAGCACTCTTGTTAATTTTAAGTGTTGAATCTGGTTTTTTTGGGGGGTGGTGGTGTTTGTGACCTTGACTGCCATGTAAATCAGTATTGAATATGTAAAAACAACATATATAGGCATCATGCCATTTTAATACATGATTAGATCTAACCTTTCTTTTAATGGAAATGGGTAGGGAAAGATGGCTAAGGGTCAGCAGCTGAGTGCTGTAAGTCTCACCAGTTTCCTGTGGACTTCCAACAGACCTCAAGTTTCAAATGGCACTATTCAGAACTCTATCTATCACTATTCCCAAGTGTTTGGATGTACAGCTAGGTTAAACATCAGTTAAGAGACCAGAGAAAATATTTCACCTGTTTTGCCCAGTTTTTATTTGGTTTCAAGGAGGAGAGACTGCTGCCTGCTCAAAGAGAGGAGGTCTGTTTTAGGAGGTATTCAAAGGTTCTTCTTTCAGTGGTGCTTGGATGTAGCTAGTTCTAGTCTGTCTTTTTCCCAGACCACCTCCTCTGCTGAACAGCAACATTCTGCTTTTCTGCCTACGTCCTAGCCTAGATTGTTCTGGTGATCAAGAACTTGGAAGAAGTTCTTGGCTTGTAGGAAGAATTAAGTAATAACTCATAGCTGTATACCTACTTTCCTGAGGTTCTGGTGAACTGTAGCAAGTCTGTTTTCAATGGAAGCTCTTTCCAGTCAGTAAAGCTTTCTCCTTTCCATGCTATAAAAAGAGATGGAGTGGGTAGTTGTAATGGTTCATTAAGTGTAACTGTCAACTGATGTGAAATTTTAAGGTCTGAAAATTCTCTTAAGGGTTCCTGTTTCATTTACCATTTTAGATATCTAAGTTCATACCACTGTTAGGAAGTATTTTTTACACTCAGTCTGTTTTCCTTTTTATACCTATAATTATGACATACTGGCATTGTTTTTAAGGAGACATATAGCATTATTGACATAAATCCTACTATATAAAAGGCAGCCTAAACAATCCATATTGTGTCATTATTATGGTAATGCTGCAAGATGCTATTTCTGGCCTCCTGCAGCGTCTTTGCTTCCTAATCAGTGTGATGTGAAAATACCTGTGTGCCATGCAAAATATGTGGTATATTTGTTAACAGAATGATAAATCAGGGAACTGTAAGTTCTTCTAATTGTAGGCCCTACACAGACTTGCAGTCCAGCTAAAATAAGATTATTTTCAAGTGTAGTACTTCTAGAGAATTTTAAACTGATAGTCTGCCTCTGATAAAGCCCTGATGTTTCAGGGTGCCATCTGGGGTGCCAGCTTCCATGTTTCTCAAATTATATAGTTACTTAAATAAAAATACATCTTCCAAAAGAAGTTTGTGTTGACTGCTGCCTAATATCTTGCTTTTGTTGATCTAGAAATTTAGTTTGTATTTTGTTGCATCTGGTCTGTTGCAGGTTGTTGTTTCACATAATGCTTTCTGTAAAGGCACAGAGTTCATATTATTTTCATCCACTGTTTCTAATTATGCAGCAGTACTGTGTAGGCTACTAATGCTCTTTCAGCACTAAGGAGTGTTTTTGGACTCAATAAATTAGGTGCCAGGGAAGCATGATTAATTTTCAAAGCCAGCCATTGCTTGTGGCTCTGATGGTACTAGAGGGAAGCACAAAAATGAGATGTAACTATTGCAGGCCCCATGCTACAAAACAGAATCACTTTAGATGACATTTCTTTCAGCAGTATGTGGCTACCTGTCCAGCAGATACAGGTTTGCAGGAGTGACCACAACTCACTTTTTTTGCTGCTCTATTTCATGTGTGTTGCAACAGAGAGTTCTTGGATGGCCAGCCTCTGTTAGGAGTATGGACCTACCTGCAGTTTGATCCTAAGTCACTTTCAACATGTAAAACAAAGTCTTAGTTTGCATATTCACACACCAGTAAGGTCAAGTACCCCTGCAATTTTGAAGTCCCTCAGTAAAGGCATTAGTTGCAAGTGTTATTCTTTGCCTGATTCATACTAGCAAATTAGGATCCCCTTCCCAAGTCTTAATAATAGAATAGTTTGAAGAGGACCATTAGTAATCACCCAGTTAAATCCCTGCTCAAAGCAAGATCATCTGGAACAGGTTGCTCCAAGTCTCCTCCAGTTGTTTGATTTTCAGGTTTTCTTTTTCTTCTAATGAACTTTCCCCCAAACTTGTATTTTCTTTATGAATACTTGTGCAGCTCTGAGACAGAGAAATAGAAAGGGTTTTTAGTCCTGAGTGCAAGAAGTCTTGACAGCAGCTTTGTTTTAGCAAGTTAAATTTATATACCTCTGGTATATCTACTGACAAACCTCGTGGACATGTAGATCTGGGCTCACCACTGTCTGGTCCCGGCTCCAAGTTGTCTTGTCATTTCTAGAATTTTTACATTGTATGAAATTGTGTTCTAGTAAACTGCTGGGGGGACATGAGTGATTAAGCCAATGTGTTTACCTTTGCAGTAGCCTTTAATAACACATGTGGTTAAAGTAGCTCCACTGACAAACAGTAATTCATTAAAGCTGAGCAGTCAGTCATGTATCCCAGCCTGAATCCAAGCCAGGACATTCAGCAGTTTTGACACTGTGGGCCAGATGCCAGTTTTGGGGTTGTGTCTGGAGCAGTCACACTGTTCTCCAGGCTTGCATGGAGTCACCAGTAATACAGTGGTTAAGTACCATGGCTCATGTGTGCACAGCAAGAGAGAAATATCTCTTGGACATGAGGATGAAGTTGACCTGTGAACAGAATATATACTGCTCCCAGAAGGATACCTGGGCTCTAGATAATCAACAACCTCTGCTGTAGCTGCAGGCAGTGTCATTGTTGCTTTCCTTAGTTATGTGTTTTGCGAGAAGTTTGTGGGGGCAGTGGGAATTTGACACTGGTGGTATGCCAGGATAGAAGGATGTCCGTAAAGCTTTGCTTGGTGGGAAGTTCTCATAGTAGAAAAGAAGGAACTGCAGTCTCCATCCATTAAGAGAAGGAGCAGAAAAGCATACATTTGGAAAAAAAAAATTGATACACTTTTATGCTTTGTTTTCTGCAGATTTCCAGAGCCACAGAAATTAAATAATCTATGTATCAGGAATTTCAGACACTAGAGAATCTTACAGAAAATCCTCTATTTTAAACTTACCAGTAAACAAAATGAAAGAAGTTCCCTTTTGAACAGATAGCCTAAAATAGTGTACTGGATCACAAAGAGCATGTGATAGACTTGGATTCATTAGATATGTTAAGTTTTCTGCCAAGTGAGACTTGGTTCTAATAACACGCTGCTGCTGTGACTGTCAGTACTCCTCTTTACAGCTCTGCTTGCAAATATATTTATTTTTCTGACAGCATTTTAAATCTTGACTCTTTTACCCTTGAACATTCAGACTTAATTTTAATGTTCTTGATCCAGATCATGAAAGGCTTTTTACAGCCATTATGAGAAACAAAATGCAGCAGAGATATGCAATGCTCATCCCCAGGTGAAGAGCCAGCCACCCATCCTAGAAAATGGAGCTGAGAGTTGGGCATCTGTGGTGGATATGTTGACATCATAAAATCACCATGCCAAAGGATGGGGGGGTTGATTGGATCAGGTCTACTGCTCTTGTTTATAAGCAGTGATTTAGTAATGCTGTACTTCTTTCTCTGGAACGTGTGGATTTTATTCAAGCAGTGCAGTCTGTTAATTTTGGCGGCCTGTTTTGATAGTAGAATGTGCCTAAGCAGAACTTTTTCATAATTTCTGTTTATATGTTTTTATTTTTGAGGTGTCATGTAGGACTGAAAGACTGATGTGTTCTCTTGTTATTCCTACCCCATCTCCTTCTAGATTTCAGATGCTATAGACCATCTTCAAGAAGCCCTGCAGCTGTGCAAAGATGACATGAATTCACTTCATCTACTGGCCCTCCTCTTTTCAGCTCAGAAGCACTATCAGCATGCACTGGATGTTATCAACATGGCTGTTGTTGAATACCCAGAGAGCTTTAGGTAAGAGTTGTTGCCCGGTGCCATACATCCAGTCAGGAATGAGCTGCTCACTAGCTGTTGTTCTCAGTTGTAAACAAGGAGCCTGTTAAATCACATGTTACAGGTATGTCACTCTCCTCCTGGAGAGGGTGTTCTTTTACTTTCTGTCTTCACAGTTTTTCTGTAATCTTTACACTTACTTTCTTTTCCAGTGTTTATCTTTTTGTATTGTGCTGATGGTGTTGTTTCCTGTAGTTTTTTGTATTTTACTTTAGATGTGGGGAAATGAGCGTGATGTGGGTCTGTATCACAAGTAATTTTATATTTGGTAACTCCCTGGTTAAAACCAAATTTTTCTTGCAATGACCATTGTTTTGATGCTCATCTGTGACACAATTTGCTGCAATATGACAGCTGGGGAAAAAGATCAATTGAAAATCACAAGCTGTGATGATGTAGAGTTGAGAGGAAGGACGATTTGTCTGCCTTGGAGTAGGTTTGACTCAGCACAGACTTCTTGGAGCCAAAGGCTTCCACTGTTCTGTGTTTGACTCAGACCCTCATCCATCTGAGGGAGGTAAATTGAATTCCATGCAATTTACTGTCATGACCTTTCAAAACAATGAATTTTTCTGTTCTGGCAAAAATTAAAGCTACTGTGATATTCTCTGGTGATTTAATACTAGCTGAGTTTCTTTCTTAGCCAAACTGCAGAAAATCCTATTGCATTGCTGGAAAACCAACTTTCATTTGGAATTGCCTGTATTTAAATAGTGTTCTAAACCTGTGCATCATTGTCTTTAGATAGACTGCATTCTCAGTAGCCAAAGAAAGCAGCTTCCACAGGTCTAATCCAGGAACTGAGTGGAATATTGTCTAAATAGAGCAAAGGAAGGTCATAGGAAGATTGAGGCTGTATGTGAGCTTGAATGCTTTAGGATCTTTCAGAATTACACAGTTGTATCAGCATATAATGTTTTTGTTGAAAACTACATGTTGCCGTTTAAAATAGGTTTGCTGCCTGTGTTTTTGAGGTTAGTTACTTGGTGTAGATGAGAAGCTAAGACTGCACTTCTTTGAGAATGAAGTGGAAATTAGCAATGGAAATGCTTTTTAAATGAAGCCAGCTCTGCTCTTTAGATTGTGAACCATAGGTATGAATGAAGCAGGAAATAGCCCAGAGGCTGCTGAATTGTATTTTAGGGTTTTAAAGTAATAAACAAAGTAAAAACCCCTCATACAGTCAAAGGTCACATTGTACAGTCAGAGATCAGATGTTTGTTGAAGACTACAAAAACACCTAAAGATACACAAGACAGAGGAAGAGGTTGTTTATGTCAGGAGAAGAGTGTTTGCCTTGTCCATTTGACCAACTGGTCCATCATGTCCTGGATCTTTCCCCCAGCAGTTATTGATTATTTATGTTTCAGGGAGGACATACATAACAAGCATTGTATGCAAAATAGCTTGGAGGGCTGCTGGGTGGGTTCTTTTGTGCTGTCTGGTAATCTGATTTCCCCAAAGCTGAAAAGAATATTATCTCAAGTTTCTCTGAGTGCAAATCTTGATGTGCACAAAGACCTTTGCCAAGGAATAGCAGAATAGGTTGTTTTTGATAGAAACAATTAGTATTGGTAGTGGAGGCCCAGGTTCATGCTTGCTCCTAGGCAGAGTCTTGCTAAAGTGTGTGCCCTTGGAAGGGCCCCTCTTTGCTCCTTGCAGGCACAAGGGTGTGTAACAAGGCTGACAGTGAGACTCATTCACAGGTACACATGTGTCTTAGTTTGAAAAGACAGGAGTCTGTGAAGGAAGGCAAGAGTCTCCTGTGAAATGGAAAAGGTAAGCCCCCTCCCTCCGAATTACCACTATTTCAAAATTAAAAGGCTTTCAGGCAAAGATATGGGAATGGGAATAATAGTTTTTTACTAGGAAAAAAATAAGTTTTAAAAAAATGTAATTAGTATAAACAAAACTACTGATAGAGTCAGAAACCTGACACCCTGAGGAGTCAGGGTGTTGGTAATAGTCCAGTTGAATGGTGGCTGCTCCTCCTGGAGTGGCAGATGAAATGCTGCTGAAGTTGTGATCTGTAGAAGGGTGGAGTTTTCTCTGAAGGTCTGGTGATGGAGTAGGTGGGCCTGGTCTTCCTCTGGGGATCCAGTGGGAAGAGCTGCTCCTCTGGGAATGCAGCAGAGAAGAAGCTGCTCCTCTGGGAACCCAGCAAAGGGCTGCTCTGATGTCCCAAAAAACGCTGATTTTATGCAGGTAGGGGTGCTTGGCTCCTCCCTCTGGGTGGAGCATCTCACCATGGGATGATGTAACTTTACCAGCCATGCAGGGAGTCATTCAATGGCCCATTAACAGAAGATATCTCCCCAGAGGGAGACATTGCTCTTGGAAGAGGTAAGAAAACTGCCCACCCACAACAGATGGCAAATAGAACACATGCTTATCTTACAAGCCAGGACAACATGGATGGAGGAGATGGGGTTGGCTTCTTGCCTCTGCTGTGTGACTGCCCTGTCTCCATGTGGGTCTTTCTCTTAACCAGCCAGCATTCTCTTAACTCATTAGTGGGAGAATGGAGAAAGAATGTCAGAGTTGCAAGGCAAGAAAGAAAAAACAAAGCTTAAAAAAATATAATTAAACAAGTGTTTCTTAAAAAAGGAATGGGAATCCAATAAGGAGGGGAAAAGCAAGAATAACAGAGTACATCTATAGTTTGTACCAAATTTGAAACCATTTAGGCTTTCTAGTGCAGTTTATGCTAGAAGGGCTTTACTGCTTTGTGAAACCTCTTTGAAGGGACAAAGACCTGATGCTATTGTGTATCTCCAGTTGCTACTGCCTTACAGAAAAATGCTAATTTTACTACTGTATGGAATGACTACAAGATGTTTCATGTAAATAGTGTAGGCAAGTGCAACTGCATGATTTTAAAGCTGTATTTAAAAGTGGTTGATTATTTTTCCAGTTGACATTTATGTGAACCAGGCAACTGTATAATGTCATGCCTGGAGGCTCCCTTCCTAATGACATCTCTTTTTGGAAGCACAGTTTGATGGCATGTATCAAGAAAAGATGATGAAAGCTGCATTAAGGGACCATAGAGCTCTGTAGATGGCAGGGAAAAAAAAAAAACCCAGAAGCATTACATAGATGTATATCCTAAATAAAAGAAAGCGTAAGATGAAAAAAATTAAGGACTTAGCTGACCCAAGCTACAGCCATTTCATACTGTTTCCCTGGTCTCTGTGTTTAATTAAAATGAGTTAGTTCCTGCTTTTTTGGTTTTCTAATAAATCCTTTCATTACAAATTTTAAAGAAGAAATTTTTTAGGATAGGTCATGTAGTTGGCTGCTGGCTGAAGCAGTTGGAAAAAATAAACTGTATTGCTCAGCTAGCACACAACATCTTTTGGCATGAACTTCATAATACTGACCCATATATATCTGAAAGTGCCCCTTCTTCATGTGTTTAAACATTAACTGCACATTTCAGAGGTTGATGTGGTGCTCAGGGACGAGGGATGTGAAATGTAGGCACTGACTGCAGTGAAAGATAAAGTGTTTTGGACTGAGCTGTTAAAGAGCTGGATATCCAAAAGGCACAGACTAAGCCCAGGATGATGACTTCTTGAAAGGTGGCATGTAGTAATAAATCCATTACATTCCAGTCAGTGGATGACTGACTGAATTTGAACTCTTAAATGTACTGTCAAGTAATGACGGAGGAAGACTTCATAAAAGAAGAATGAGACCAACTATGCTGAACATTCTGCAAGCTGGGGTGAGCCAGAAGAAATATGCTGTCTTGCCATGACCATAAAAGATAGAATTAGCAACCTTTACATGGAAGGTATCATCTGAAAAATTGTTGATGCCTCTCTATGGGGTGAGACTGCCCGGGATAAAACTTAGTGATTTTACACCTTGTCAATGATGGTATGCTGTTAAAAGAAGCAAATGAATTTAGTACCAACAGTTGGCTTTGGTATACATTTTTGAAAGGACTATATTCAGCACATTTGGGTAAGAAGACTCCAGTTAGCATCAGGTGTTTCCCCTCCAGGTCAGTAATGCTAACCATAAGCCTTTCTGAAGATGGGTTCCTGTAATTTTTTTCCAATTCAAAGGCCAGCCTTTGGGTAATGTTCTACCTGAATCTGGCAGTGATTACCTTCACAAGCTTGTCTCAGGGAAGAAATAGTGAGCACTCCTTTGCCCTCCAGATGATCTTAAAATAATTCATTGTTTATATAGAAAGAATTTTGCTTTTTAAAGTCCGTATCCACCTCACAGTGTTCCATGCAGAAGTCCCATGGGTCTAGCAGCCTGCAGAATCTCCTACAGAGCTTAACATGCTCCTTTATTTTCAGGTAGTAATATTTCCTCCTTCCAGTTTTGCTTGTATAAAAGTGTTTTTGCCTTTCTCATTCTGCCCCTCTTCCAGATTACTGTTTTGCTCTCTGGTCATCTTTTAGCTTTAATTTGTTAGCTTCCAGCAGTAGAAAAAAAAGAATGTCTATACCAAGTATAAAGTTGGAAATAAGATATCAATTTTATGGATACTCTGTTGCTCCCAGACTGCTTATCCAAACCTATTCTGTTGTTCACTGGGTAGTTTCATGTCTCCTGGATGGCTCCCCATTATGTTAGAACAATACAGTCCTCTGGCATGTCACATCATCTAATTGCTGCCCAACGTGATGGTGAATATTTTGTTAAATGATCATGTCTCTGTGGCAGTTCCCTACGTTGCACAGGGGTTGTAACTCTCTTAAATTGACAGAATTTAATATTCCTTCTCTTTCTGGACTAAGTCACTATTCTGTTGCTCTCAGAGTCTGTAAACTAGTTACAAAGAGAAATTACAAAACTTCTAGGAAGCACTGCTGTTCTACACATAAAGACTCAAAAAGAAACAGGTGGGTTGGTATTCTGGAGCAATGTATGTGTCAAATGCAGGTGCTTTTATTCTACAAAAAGCTAGCACAAAAGTAATTACTGTAAATGGACTG